CCAATTTCGACACTTAAATTGTCGAAATCTAAGGGTATTTTCGACACATACATGTCGAAAAATAGGTGTATTTTCGACCTGTATGTGTCGAAAATACATGGCGAGCTTAAAAAAAAAAAATTTTCAAAATCGATGTTTTAGCTCAAAAAATACATGAATACATACCTGAATGGGTTCTCCTTGCTCGTAAACTACCATTCTATTGTCATTTGAGGCCATTTTGCAAGTTGTGTAAGGTTTTGATTTCTTTTGTTTTGGGGTTTTTTAGGAGGGTTTTTGGGGAGGGAGAAGAAGGAGGTGGAGGAGGTGAGGGGTTTGGGAGTGAGGAGGGAAATGTTTTTTTAGGTTTTTGATTATTTGGTTTTTAAGAAAGAAAAATAGTATTTGTAATATTATTTGGTTTTAATTTTCATTAAGGGTATTAAAGTAATTTCCAATTAATTATTTAATTTCTATTTTTTTGGTATTCAACTAAGCAAAAGTTAGTATTCAAAATAGTTGCCCCCCGCCGTAATTACATAACTACCGATCAACAAGTACAAAATTGTCATTGTAATTACAAAACTACCACCGAACAATAATTACAGAACTGTCGCTTAACAAATAATTACATAATTACAATTTAATGATAATTATAATAAATTAATTTGAAAATTAAGTACAATTTCTTTCAATCAGAAACGACGTCGCCTGGTTCAAACTATCTACGAAGAGTGACAACCATTTTCACTAGCCGGGTTCAAGAATTAATGGCGGACACACTAACTCACTGCAACAATTAACACCTTCCCAATATTCAAACCCTAGAATTTTGTTTGGAGGTGAGTAAGTTGTTAGCTCTCCCCAATGGCGGAGCAAAATTTCAATGGTGCCAGTGCAGGTAATTACTTAACGCTCTCGAACTGTAGCTGGTTCTTCCCCCTTTTATTTTTAGGTTTTATTTTTGCTATGGTTGCTTGTTTCTTCAATGCGAATGATGATGACGATGAAAATTGACTATTGCATGTTGCTTAATCATATCGTCTGGTGCTGATTTTTTTTTTTTTTTAATTTTGATAATATTTGTTTTGATTTTAGATTTCTACTGATAATTTTGTTGGTGCTTATTTGTTATACAAATCTCTCTATTGATTTAAAATTTTCAGTTGTCTTCAATCAATGGCCGGTAATTCATTTCTGTAATTGCGATTTTGGGTTTTTGCAGATGTTAGTCTTCCTCAGAAGCTTAACGAAATGATTGCCGATGGCTCACCGGACTACAATTCTTGGAGATCGTTGATTTTAGAGATCGTAACTGCAATTCCAGTATGTACACATTAATGAAAAGCTTCCCAATTTAAGACAGTATCAGTAAATAATATGTGCTCTCCAATTTACACATGATTTTGAATTGCAGGAGGATATAAATACTATTTCCTTAGCGTACGACTCGTTTTTGTCAATATTCCCGTTGTGTCATTGGCATTTGGAGAAGTATGCGTTTCAAAAGGCGAAGTTGTGCGGCCCTCAAGAAGCTGTTAATATTTACGAGCGAGGAGTGGAAACGGCAATGTTTTCAGTCGGTTTTTGGGTTGACTATTTTATGTTTGGCACAACATGTTTTGAACCTGAGGAAGTCCGTCGGTATTATTAATGAAATTATTTATTTTATAGGCATTTTGATTAGGAGGGAAATTATGAATTACGTATCTCTTTAATGATTTTGCCACGTAGCTCTATTGTTTGAACTTGCTAAACTGCAGTTATTCAGGAGAAAAGCGGATACATGTTCATGTTCATGTAAGAACCCAATTATAATTGGTAAAGTCATGTGTATGCGTGTTGTTGTTTGAGAAGAACTTTAATGAGTTCATTGTAGGGTATCTTTCACATGCCAATATTCATCTTTAAGACCGTTTACAAACATTTCCAGATTTTATCAACGCATTTTTGCAACAGATATTTAATATATATATGCAGCACGATGGACTATTGGGATCATATTGGAGAATTGTTTTTTGTACTGATTTACTTGTTCCTTTCGACAGATTATTTGGAAGAGCTATATCATTTGTCGGAAAAGATTACTTTAGTCATGCCCTATGGGATAAATACATGAAATATGAATTTAATCAGGAGGGGTGGAGCTTTCTTGCTCAGAGTTACATCGAAGCACTGAGATTCCCTACGAAGAAGCTGCAGTTTTATCATGATAAGTATGTTAATCTCCACCTCCTGCATTAAACTTTTGAAGTACTCATTATAATTTGGACGTACTTTTTCAAGTTTTGATCTATGAACATTTTCTGCACATGTAACTCTACAGCTTTAAGCAATTTGTCGCCAATTTGGAAGAGGAAATAGGACATGAAAGAAACAACGGAGAGCAGGTCTCTGTTCCTTGTGCTGAAATAAAAATATCCAGTAAAGAAATCTCTCTCGTCGTCAAGGATTTGCTAGATTCTTCCGATAAGTCCCTCAAATCAAAAGCACTGGATAGATATATATCTATTGGAGATCAATTCTATCAAGAAGCACGCAAAATGGACGAGAAAATAATGTGCTTTGAGACAAAAATTGTAAGGCGGTATTTTCATGCAACTCCTCTTGAGGAGAATCAACTGAGTAATTGGCATGTCTATCTGGATTTCATTGAGACGCAAGACAATTTGGACACGGTAAGGTTTTTTCGAGTCATCGTGCTTTTATCTGGATCTTGCTATATTATATTGAATTTATCTATTTGTGTACAGGCGGTTAAACTGTACGAGAGATGCTTGATTCCATGTGCGAATTACCCTGAATTTTGGATGCGTTATGTGGAGTTTCTGGAAAGTAAAGGAGGGCGTGAGATGGCTATTTCTGCTCTAAATCGAGCAACTCAAACATTTCTAAAGGTGAAATTGTTGTTTATTCATAATTGAGGATACTTTTTCTTTTCCCTGAAGTCAAATTATGGCTCTTAATCTCGGAATTTGTTTTTGTCCGATGATTGCTTCTGTGAATGTTATTTTATTTTAAAAATTAGGCTAAAGGGGAGGAATTTTACTTCTCCTCGTAAATATGGTGCAGGATGTGGCACAAATACATTTGTTCAGTGCAAGGTTTAAGGAGCGGATAGGAGATATCAATGGTGCTCGTGCTGCACTGATTCTTTGTGATACAAAAATTGACTCCAACTTCATTGATAACATCGTAACCCTAGCTAACCTCGAAAGACGTCTGGTATGGCTTTCATTGTTTAATACTTAATAAATCCCTCATTAAGGTTGGAGACTTTGTTAAGAAGGATTGTATTTTTATTTTTTAGTTTTTTTAAATTTCAGGGAAATAATGAAGCAGCTTCTGCTACGTATGAGAAAGCACTAAAAAAGGCGAGGGAGGCACAAAAGCTACATGTTCTTCCCACTTTGTATTCTCAATTCGCCCGTCTCACCTTCTTGGTATGAAACTTGAGTAAATTTAAATCTCTTGTGTACGAACTACGTACCTTATCATATTTTAATATTATGCATATTTATCTGGTTAAAAGTGTTTTATTATTATTATCTCTTATTCGTTGATTTGGATAACTGGCTGGTAGATAACAGGTAGTGCAGCAGTTGCTAGAGATGTATTAATCGAAGGCGTGCGACAAGTGCCTCGTTGCAGATTCCTCTTAGAGGTAGGTCTATTAGCTGCATATGAAAGTTAGCATGTAGTTTTATTTTATAAACGAAGTTTTGGAATATTACAGCATCGTGTTCATAGTTATTACTTTTCTGCAGGAATTGATCAAATTTGCAATGACTCATGAAGGTGAAAGACAAGTACATATTATTGAAACCGTAATAACTGATGCCATTTCTAATGGATTAGACGAGTACGGAGTTTTGAATGCCAAAGATCGAGAGCAAATATCATGCTTGTTTTTAGAGGTTCGATTTTCACTTTCGAGACAAGTAATTTTACATTTAATGCGAAGATTGATTCTTATTATTTATTTGAACAATGGTTTTTTTTTTTCAGTTTGTCAACCTTTGTGGAACTACTCATGATGTAAGAAAGGCTTGGAACCGTCACATTAAACTGTTTCCCCAGTTCCTAAGAAAGCACTTTACATCACAAAATTACTCGATAGATTTAGTCAAGGACCAAACACGAAAGGTATTGCCTCAGAGGGACCAAAACGAAAATGCTGAGGAAACTGTCGAAGTGCTGTCTACGAAAGCTGTTGTTTTGTCCGATGAAGATGCAGTTTGTCATAATCTCTCGAACCAATCTATAGAGAAACCAACAAAAATGGACATTAGTGATGAAATAGCCAATAAACAGCAGTCCAACGGAAATTCTTTGAGCCCTCACGAGTCAATTCACGAGGCTGGAAAGTCAACGGAAACGAGCGAGCCAATTGAAGCCTCTCCCGCTGCTAATTTAGACCATCCAGTTTCTTTGGACAAGATTTCCTTGAAATCTCCGGAAAAGGAACCACCGTTTCATAGTGAACCGACAAAAATACACAGAGATCAAGAACAGCCTTCGCAACCAGGGGCCGTTGAGGAAAATAAAGAAACTTCGGGGACTGTTTCTGCAATATCTTATCCTCAACAAGAACAGCAGAGCATGGCTATGAACCAGATGATGCAGTATTATTACCAACAGCAGCAATTATATCAGCAGCAACAGCAGCAGCAACAAATGTACCAGCAGCATCCTTACTACCAAATGCAGCAGCCTTATTACACGAATCAGCAAACCAATCAACAGCCGACACATCAGCACCAGCAAAATCCACAATCTCAGGACATTGCTTACCAATTAGCGTATCAACAAAACGTAACACAAGGGCAGCAGCAGCAGCAACAGCAGCAGCATATGCTTTGGCAGCAGTACCAGCAATATCCGGGCTATCAGTACCAACAGTACCCGAACGAAGGGCCTATCCAAAATCAGCATCAAATAGTCATTTCGAAAGAAATTCCAGCTGAAAATGTGAGCCGGTTTTCTTTTTTTTTTTAATTAATTTTATTTTGAATATAAATCGGAGGGTTGTGAGTTTTGTTGGTGGCATTTGCAGGTTTCGAAAACTTCGGCCCCGGAATATGATGGTGCATCAAGACTTTCTGAATCTCCACATCTTAAGGTTCAATCACCTCATTAATGGATCTTGATTATCTATTTACAAGTAATAAATAATTAAATCAAAAAAGGGTTTAGTATATTTGCCAATTTGTTTTTCAGTAATCTATTTATCTTGTTTAGTGAAATATTTAAATCTTTTCTGATACTATATCTAACGAATTGCATTATATGTATAATATTGTGCTGCAATTATTACAGCATTTGGACTTTTGTGACAGAAAAAAGGGGGGGAAATATAAAAATTACATGCATTTTCACGTGGTTCATATAATTTAATAAATTATTTACACATTGTTTAATAATTTAATTAATTTAAAATTAGCATTCAAAGCTAAATACATGAATAAATACATAATAAAAATCCAAATAATTTAAATTATTCCAAACTTCCAAAATTGAAATGATGATATTAATTATGAAATTAATCACATTTTTATCTATCCAATCAAAGTTATTCTATATTTTAACTTCGTATTATGAATATAATAGATACTACAAAAAAAAAAAAAAAAAAATTAAGAAACACGAAATTTGGTGACACATAAATGAGCCTAGCTTGACAAATTTGGTGAGCTCGAGCTCATATATATAGTTTAATTATTTATATTATTAAAGATTAAAAAGAATATTTTTATATGTATTTATTATAATATTAATTTATATTAAAAAAAATGAAAAGAAAAAACTAGTTGGCTATTCGTAACATCAAATAGTTGGGCTTTACGGCTGAAGCAGATGGCGACACTGGTGCGTCGGAAAGTGGGCCGCACGCTGTTTGACCCGACCCGTATTTTGCCCATATTGCAAAATCCAAAACACTGTTGGAAATGGTGACATACGCAGGTGATTCACAGCCACACAGAAAGAAAAAAAAAGATTAATTACTTCACCACACATATATTAACCCACAATTAAGACACCACTAATCACTGCTAAAACAAACACAAAGACTGGATTTTTACTGTAAAAACAAGAGATTTGGGGATAATCCCACACAATACGGAGGTAGCTGCAGAGACCTTTGTAGACAAAAGCAAGTTCAATCATGCTAAAAATCCAGCTTTTACCATTCTCAATCACACCACTGAACCCACTTCGATTCCACAGTTCTTCAACAATCCCTAATCAAGAAAATCCATCCTCCATCGTTAAATGGATTTACAGGGCAAACAAGCCGATCTGTCGTCGTCCACCGCCGCCAGCAACATGAGGACCAACAGCACAACCATGGCTCAGTACAGCGCCGACGCGCGCCTCATGGCCGAGTTCGAGAAGTCCGGCGCCTCCGGTAAGCTTTTTAACTACTCTAAATCGGTTTCCTACGCGCCGCAGTCTGCGAGTACCCAAGAACAAATGACGGCTTATTTGTCGAGAATCCAAAGGGGCGGCCTCGTTCAGCCCTTTGGTTGTATGCTCGCAATTGGCGAGCCCAATTTCAATATCATAGGTTATAGCGAAAATTGCTTCGATATGTTGGGTTTGAAGGATCTTCTTCATTCGAAACAGTCGATAATGGGTCTAATGGGGGTTGATTCTCGCACCCTTTTCACCCCTTCTTCCAGCACTTCCTTAATGAAAGCGGTTGGTTCGAGTGAAATATCGTTCATGAACCCGATTTGGGTTCATTCGAGTACGAACAATCGGGCGTTTAATGCTATACTACACAGAATCGATGTGGGTATCGTGATTGATTTGGAGCCATCTCATTCGGGTGATCCTGCAATGATGCATGCCGGTGTTGTACAGTCGCAGAAGCTAGCCGTAAGGGCGATTTCGAGATTACAGTCGCTTCCCGGGGGCGATATAGGCGCTCTGTGTGATACTGTTGTGGAAGATATTCAGAAGCTCACAGGGTACGATAGGGTTATGGTGTATAAATTCCACGAAGATAATCACGGTGAGGTTTTGTCGGAGATCAGAAGGTCCGATTTGGAACCCTATCTCGGATTGCACTACCCCGCCACAGATATCCCACAAGCGGCGAGATTCTTGTTCAAACAGAACCGTGTTAGGATGATCTGCGATTGCAATGCTACTCCGGTTAAGATAGTCCAAAGCGAAGAACTCAAGCAGCCGCTTTGTTTGGTTAACTCGACCCTTCGGTCACCCCACGGATGTCACAGCCAGTACATGGCGAATATGGGGTCGATTTCGTCGTTAGTGATGTCTGTCGTGGTCAACAACGGTGACTCGATGAAGCTGTGGGGATTGGTTGTTTGCCACCACACTTCACCGCGGTATGTACCTTTCCCTCTTCGGTACGCGTGCGAGTTCTTGATGCAGGCATTCGGTCTTCAGCTTTACATGGAGCTCCAGTTAGCATCGCAATTAGCGGAAAAAAAGATTCTTCGAATGCAAACTTTGTTATGCGATATGCTTTTAAGAGATGCTCCATTTGGGATTGTGACACAGTCGCCGAGTATAATGGATCTTGTCAAGTGTGATGGTGCTGCATTGTACTACAACGGTAAATGCTGGTTGCTCGGTGTGACTCCGACTAAACCCCAATTAGAAAATATTGCAGAGTGGCTTCTGAAGGTCCACGGTGATTCCACGGGGCTGAGCACAGAGTGTCTTTCCGACGCTGGCTATCCAGGAGCGGCTCTTTTAGGCGATGCAGTTTGTGGTATGGCTACTGCAAGAATCAGTCCATCCGATTTCTTATTCTGGTTTAGGTCACACACTGCAAAGGAGATTAAATGGGGTGGGGCAAAGCATCACTCGGAAGATAAAGATGACGGTGGAAAAATGAATCCGAGATCTTCGTTTAACGCGTTTCTTGAAGTGGTTAAGAGCCGGAGTTTGCCGTGGGAGGTTTCGGATATTAACGCGATCCACTCTTTGCAAATTATGATGAGGGATTCGTTTCACGAGGTTCAAGAAAATGGTCCTAATAAAATCGAGATGCACTCAAGAGATGGTCAAGAACTGGACGAACTTACGTCGGTGGCAGTTGAAATGGTTCGGTTGATTGAAACCGCTACTGCCCCGATTTTTGGGGTCGATTCTTCGGGGTGGATTAATGGCTGGAATGCTAAAATGTGTGAGTTGACTGGGTTGGAATTGGATGAAGCTTTGGGGAAGTCTTTGATTAACGATGTTGTTCATATTGACTCGCGTGAAGTTGTCAATACACTATTCAACAGAGCTCTACAAGGTAATTTTTTTTTAAAGCACTTCACGAATCCAAATACTCGTCAATTTATAGTCGGGATGGTTACATTTTTAGTCTCTATACTTAGCACCTAAATCGGTTTTGATTGTCTTTGAGAACATTCGAGCATCTCTATGGTCATGGATGATAGAAGTTGCTTACTACACACTCTTATTCTAGCAAAAAATCAAGTTCCTATATGACTAAGTGGTTTCAATGTTTGAAATTAGAAATTTGAGGAAGATGATTTACGAATTTGAAGGAGAAAGTTTGGAAAAATTAGCGATAAAGTGAATTCGAGGCAACATCAGAGATAGAGGTAAGAATGGAGTTTGAAATGTGGGTGACATGTGCAAAACACGTAAATTTAACCCCAAAATAGACGTCGGATGAAAACTGTAAAAAAAAAAATATATAGGGACAAAAATCGAATAAGTGATATAGTATAAGGGCCAAAACTGTAATTATCTCACATAATTCCGTCCATTTTAACCAAGAAAGTGGCATGTTAGAGGACTAAAATCGTTTTAGTTGCCAAGTGTAAGGACTAAAAATGTAATAATCCAATGTATAGTCAGTCACTCAATCCTCTTTTACATGCTCTATTATAGGTGAAGAGGACAAAAATGTCGAAGTAAAGCTGCTGAAATTCGGTGTACACGCACCAAACTCGGTTGTACACCTTCTAGCTAATGCATGCACAAGTAGGGACCACCAAAACGACGTAGTGGGAGTATGTTTCGTTGGGCAAGATATCACCGCTGAAAAAACCGTGATGGATAAATTTATCCGCTTGCAAGGGGATTATAAAGCTATCATCCAAAGTGTCAACCCATTAATCCCACCTATATTCGCTTCCGACGAAAACGCGTGTTGTTCCGAATGGAATGCCGTTATGGAAAATTTAACCGGCTGGACGAAAAACGAGGTAATCGGGAAAATGCTGCCAGGTGAAATTTTCGGAAGCTTCTGTAAACTGAAAGGTGAAGATGTAAGGACTAAGTTTATGATTCTCTTGTACCGAGCTATTGGAGGACACGATACAGAGAAGCTTCCGTTTGGATTCTTTAATCGAAAGGGAGAGTTTGTCGAGGTGTATTTGACTGCAACTAAGAGACAAAACGAGAGTGGGAATGTGATAGGGTGTTTGTGCTTTTTGCAGACAGTTGTTATTAATGAAAAGGAGACGAAGAACAAAAACCCGCTTTCGAAACTTAAAGAATTGGCCTACATTAGGCAGGAGATGAGGAACCCGATAAACGGGATCCGTTTTACGCACCAACTCATGGAAGATTCCGCAGTTTCCGATTTTCAGAAGCAGTTTCTTGAAACTAGTGATGCATGCGAAAGACAGATACTTTCCATTATCGACGACACCGATTTCGGAAATTTAGAAAACGGGTAACTATATTTATTCTGAATTTTAAATAAAATATTTGTTTCAACAAAAAAAGGGTTTTTTTTTATATTTTTGTTTTACTAATTATTTCGATATTTATCGTTGTGGTTTACTGGAGCAGGAGAATGGAGCTGAAAGAGGAGGAGTTTATGTTGGCTAATGTCGTGAATGCTATTGTTAGTCAAGCTATGATTTTGTTGAAAGAGAAGAGTTTGCGTTTAATACACGATATACCCGAGCAAATCAAGACTTTAAGTGTATACGGCGATCAAATTAAGCTTCAATTAGCATTGTCTGATTTCTTGCTTAGTGTAGTTGACTACGCTCGTTCGCCAGCTGGCTGGGTGGAAATTAAGGTCTCCGTTGGATTGAATTTGATACAAGACGGAAACGAGTTTGTTCGTCTCCAATTCAGGTATATTTCGTTAAACTGATTTTTTATTTTTATTTTTTATAATTTTTTTTTTAATGATGTTCTTGTTTGCGTTTATTTCAGAATGACTCACCCTGGACAGGGTCTTCCGGAAGCTCTAATCGAAGACATGTCTCGTGTGAATAATCACTGGACAACACAAGAAGGGCTTGCTTTGAATATTTCTCGAAATATTCTAAGTATGATGAATGGTAATGTTCGATATATTAGAGAACAAAACAAGTGTTACTTCCTCGTCGATGTTGAGCTAAAATCACGAAAATCGAGATAACATTGTTGTACACTATTTTAGTTGGTTGAGTTAGAGTACTCTGTTTCGGGAAGTTATTTGATTTCTAATAATATTACAATCTGATAGCGTGTCAGTGTGTAATTGTGAATATAATGTATTCATGTAAATTTTGATGATGTTAATTATTTTCCTTGAAATTTATGAGGGAATTTTTGTTTCAATGTTTGTTCCAAATTTTTAACGCAGTTGTGCATGGGTTAGTCGAGCTTTAATCGAGCTCGAGTAACTTGATTTTGTGTATATACATCGTATGTATGATCTCGAATTCGGGTCGAGTTTCATATTTTATAAAATAAAAGAATGTGTTAAAGCCCGGTTTGTTATGATAACAAACCGATAACAAATGGCTTTTAACGATAAATCTTGAATCAAGCTTGAGTAGCTTAATTTCTCAAAAAAAAAAAGCTTGAGTAGCTTAATTAATTTTCAGCCCTAATTGAATATTACATAGTCAAACTAATATAAATTTCCAGATGATTGTTAATCTTTTTACATTATGATGTAATTATTTTGATTTTTTTTTTTGGGAAAATCACAAACTTAAATCTATAAAACTATATACAACATATATGATAGCTAAGTGGTAATTTTTTAGGAATATATGTAACTTGAGGGTTAAATTGGGCAAATATGAAAGTTTAGGGTGCATTATACCAATAATTTGTAATTTGGTGGCGCAAAATACAAAATTATACTTCAAATTACCCCCAAAAGATTCCCCACCGTCGATTTGATCTTATCAACCCTTTCCACACACATTCCAGCCGAAACTCAAAACCCTAATATACGCAACGAAATTCTATATAAACCCCCAAGCATCCACTCAATTTTCATATCCAGTCTCAATCAGCGGCCGCCCACAGCCCAAAACCTAGAAAAAAAACCCGTCTTCCGCCGTTCCTATTTCTTCGTTTCTCTTTGTCTCCGACGAGTCTGCAATTATTTTTTTTTATTAAATTTTGGATTCAATGATGTTTGTTGATGAAGATGATGATTTGATTTTTGTCGCCCCAGTCTTAATTTGCATCTAACATTAGATGTAATGTGGTGATTGACATTTTATCTGATTCCGATAATTAATTTTTTTATTTTAGGTGAAAATTAGGGTTTCATGATTCTTTTTTTCCTGGAAATATGATGATTTGATTTTTGTCGCCCCAGTCTTACTTTGCATCTCTCAAGAGATGTAATATGGTGATTGACATTTTTATCTGATTTCTTCAATCCTTCTTTTTTTCCCCCAATTTAAATTATTAATTTTTAAATATTTTATTCTGATTTAAAAAACAGATTTTTATTTGTTGAGATATGCACAAATTGGCGTGATGATACACTTACCCAATATTTTTTCTGCATTTTGAATGATGAAAAAAACATGCACTACCATCTGATCTCTTTCTGTATATCTCAACAATTTTTAATTTACTTTTATTTTAATTAATTTTGTTGATTTGAAATCTGATTGTGCAATCTGTGATGAAGATTTTGTCATTCTATATGATTAACAAGTGATTATGTAAAACAAATTCACCATCTTTCGACTGAGATTGCTTTTTTGGATTTATTATTAAATATTTATTTTGATTTTGAATTGTTTAATTGAAAATGTTTTATTACAAATTATGCCCTTGGTATCTAATGTTCAGAGTTATATCCGTGTCTGAACATCTCGTTTTTCAGGGCACAAATGAACAGACAAACAGGCTGCGACACGGATTGCTTTACTAATCATAAGCTTCTGTTACTTTAATCCTGATTACATATCCTTCTATATTATCAATTTTTTTTTTTATTTTTTTTTTGTTTTGTTTTATTTAATTTGTACTTTAGACACTGTTAATTTGTTTAGATGACTTTTTTATTTAGTTTAATTTGGTCATATGATCTTACTTTTAATTATCAATGTATGTTGGAACAATTTGGATTGTAATATGATTGATTTGCTTATTGAATATAGTATGTTTTTGGTAACTGAATTTTAATGATCAATTGGTTCTCTTATATTAAATAATAGGGTAAACTTCATTTTGCCTGCCTGAACTATACCTATCGTATAAAATACCCTCCCGAACTTCGAAATGAATCAAAACAGCCCCTCAGTTTAGAATCTGTTTGGTCGTGCTGATGTGGCACTTTGACTTTTGCATATAAAATTATGTTTATAATTTCTGCATTTGCTTTGACATTTTTACCCCTTAGTTTATATATATATATAAATTCCGATGGAATATACAATATTTCTACTGGAACACGTAAGCTTCGCCGGAATCCGCGAGCTCCGTCGCCAAAGTACAATTCTCCACCGGGAATGTGAAAATGAAATTGGGGGTTCGGGAAAAAACTGGGTTTCTAAACGATTAAACTATATTTTGCAATAATCCTAATAGATGAGTACTTTCCTACCCACACACACACATACACACACACACACACAAAAAAAATACAGAAAAAAAAGCTCTGGAACTTGTAGTTAAATATAGCAATTGAATTCAACCCAGTAGCCCAATATTCAAGAAAATGGTCAGAATCCAATTTGACCCCATCCAATTTGAGCACACCCAAATTCCACCCAGTTGCAAATAAATCCAATTTGATCTTATTATAAGATTGAACCTCGTTTCTTGACAGAGACGAGGTTGTGGAGGCTAATCTTTTATTTTTTATTTTGCTGTGTGAATCTTTTTTCTTTTTTTTTTCTTAAATGAAGTTTGGGAAGAAACCTTTGTGAGAAGAAGGAAGAAAAGTAGAAATGGGGAAAAAGAAAGGCCGGAGGAAGAAGAAAGGAGGAAGAAGATATTAGGGACAAAAATGTAAAAACCCTTTAAAACTAACGGATTTATTAAAAAACTGACGGTGTCAACATTTTTAATGTTGACCATAAAAAATGTGGGCTGTTTTGATGCATTTTAAAGTTCAGGGGGGTATTTTATACGTTGGGTATAGTTAGTTCAGGTGAGTAAAATGAAGTTTACCCTAAATAATATTGAATCTAGTTGTGTTTACAAGAACTTTTTAGCTAAATGATTATGAATAAATGTCAGAATTAATTGCATTTACAAAAGTTTTCATCAATTAAAGAGCTTTAATTCCAATCTTTAGGCCCAAATTCAACTCGCATCGGGCTGAAAAAATCAAATTGGCGGCCCATATCAGCTACCATAAATCCCAAACGTCAAATTGCAGATCCAATTACGATTTGCGTTAGGCCCGAAAGCATAAATTGCAGGCCCAAATTCTACTCAAATTGCAGGTTCAAATTGAACTAGCATTGGGCCCATTGTTGAACTCGGATTGGGCCCATAATGTGAAATTGAAGGCCTAAATTCGTGCAAGGGCTACAGATGTAATTAGCCTTAACCAAAACGACGTCGTCGGCTGCTTTTCAAAATCCCCAAATCTTTCGTCGTCTTCTCCAAAGCTGCCTGCAGTCTTTGAAACCATACCAGTGTTTCCGGTCCAATCCATATTATTTATTATCGCCTTTCATAACTGCATGATTCACTGCCCTAATATATGTATTCATTATTCAAATTAAACAGTTTTTTCTTGCCTTATGTAAATCTGAAATACTCACATTTCCATTTACATTTACACACACAATCACATGTTACATTATATTAAAGCCCACAAATTTAATTACAAAACTGCTGTATGTTTACTTTCCGGGAACAAAGTTAGTGGCGTAAGACCAAGCATTGTTGTTAACCGGGTCGGATAAATGATCCGCCAGATTCTCCAACGGACCCTTTCCGGTAACAATGGCTTGAACGAAGAATCCGAACATCGAAAACATTGCGAGTCTGCCATTCTTTAGCTCCTTCACCTTCAGCTCTGCAAATGCTTCCGGGTCTTCAGCTAGGCCCAACGGGTCGAAACTCCCACCCGGGTACAACGGGTCGACCACTTCTCCGAGTGGCCCGCCGGCAATACGGTAGCCCTCAACAGCACCCATTAATAGAACTTGGGTGGCCCATATAGCTAAAATGGACTGCGCGTGGACCAAACCCGGGTTGCCCAAATAGTCCAACCCTCCTTCACTGAAGATCTGTGACCCGGCTTTGAACCACACGGCTTCCCCGAACTTAACGCCGTTCCGGGCCAATAGCTCCGGGAATACACAACCAAGTGCACCGAGCATGGCCCACCTGGAGTGAATCACCTCCAATTCGCGGTTCTTGGCGAAGGTTTCCGGGTCGGCGGAGAGTCCGGCGGTGTCCCAGCCGTAGTCGCCGGCGAACTCGCCGGTGAGGTAGCTGGGAGCTTCACCGGAGAATAGGCCCAAGTACTTAACTCGGTCCGGGCCGTACCATGGGCTGCCAGATGAAGCGGGCTTGGGCTTGGGCTTGCCAGCTGTCTTCCTCATGGAGACTCTTCCGCTGCTGTTGGCGGTGATCTCAGAGGAGATCTTCACCGCCTGTCCGGCGAAGGATGAGGAAGAAAGAGACATTGTTGAGGAAGACATTGTTTTTTAGTACTAGGAATTTTTCAAATGTTGAATTGCTGAAGAAATTGGCGGGGTGAGATGAGTGGTTAGTTGGGTAGTTGTGGTAGTTATTTTATAGAGGAAGTGATGGTGATATTTTTCTATTATTTGATAAAATCTAAATCTCGAGGCTGTGATTTTGTTTCAAGATTCGTTTGTTGTTCTAAGCTGAGCTGGCAGTTTCTTGGCCATGTATTTGTAAAGGGTTTGTAAATCCATTGTCGATTTTGATTTTTCTTTCTGGATATTGTGATCGTGCCCACACCAATTTCTTTTCGATTTTGTTATCCATAAACTAGCTTTAAGGATATTATGTAACCAAAATATGATTTCGGATGAAATCGACTTGTCAAATTAATAAGAGTAAGATTAACATCAACGTATCGGATCCGTTTGCAAGAAAACGGCCAATTTGCAAGATGATGAGCCGCAAAATTTGCATTCCTTGAACAACATATGAGCTTCCATTTAGGTCAAAGGAACAAGAACTTCCGTATCTCCTCGATCAGAAATTTTGTTTGATCAATGAATTGTTGTTGATTGAGCCGTTGGAATTTTTCTCACCAAAAGTTAAGGAAGCATGACCATCATTGAAGCAACTGTCTGAGTTAATTTTAAGCCTATATCCTTCAGGTGTTTGATCCAAACTGGAGAAGCTACTGAACTTATCTCGAGAAATTTTGAGATTTGACAATTCCAATGAACAAATAGAGGGGAACCATGAGTAATGAGTTTGCAATTGGACCAAATAAGCTCAAAGAAAACAACCATATACACAAGAAATTCATCTTAATGGTGACCTAAAACTTTCGAGTCCATCAAATTACCTTCTTCTTGATCTCAAAATTTCTCCAAAAAAATTACCTTTTTCTTGATTAATTATAAATTTGGTGATGAATTTCCATTCTACCCAAAATACCCTCACACTCTTGCAAATTTGAACTTCAATAGTGAATTATTGGAGCAAAATGAACCTGACACAGGCACATGTAGGTAGACCCACAACAAACTGTGACCTCAAGTTCCAGCTCCAATATGTGTATAGGGCCACTAAAGAATTATTAAAGAACAAATAATAATAATAAGGGGTAAATTACACACACCCCCCTGAGGTAAGCTTAAATAACTGTAAGGTCCCTGTGGTATCGATAATTACACTCAGCCCCCTGAAACGTAGTCAGAAACTCTAATGGGATAATGAATTGGATACGTTATTCCGATAGGGTTCTAACGGACTATCGGTTTCAGAAAGTGGTGGAGACAACCAACAGCTATGGG